TAGTTGCCACTACCGTCCACCACCCCTACTATTTCCAATGCCTCTATCACTCGGACCACCCCGCTACGAGTCTTACTGCAGTTACCACAACTACTATTTTCTTTGCGTTGACGCTGCCACAAAGGTGGATTTCTACTTTGCCTAGCCCAAAGAAACCCGAAACCACTGAAACCCAAAGACAACCGCAGAAAAGTTCCTATTATAGTTCCTCTCTCCTCCTGCTTCTCCTTCGTTAAGTGGGATGCCTTTTCCGGAAGAACGCCTAAATAAACCCTAAAGACAAGAAACCGAGCCCAAAGAAACCCGAAACCAGTGAGTGAAGCTAAAGACAGCCGCAAAGAAGCCCCTAGTAAGTGGAATACCTTTTCTGTTCCCTCCCTTTGTCACTGTCACGCTGGCTTTGGTGCTTCGTCCCCTGCCCTTTCTGCTGCTCCTAGTGCTTGTAAAGCACTCCCAGCAGAAGCAAAGGCAAAAACAGTAGGAGAAAATACGTGAAAATTCACGGAAACATATGAAAAATCACGGAAAATATCCATCCCACCGAAGATTCAGTTCAATATACAGCGCAGCAAAAGATTCGCGCCAAGGAAAGGTGTGTGTGTGTGTATAAATGTTTTCACATATGCGCGCGAGATCCATTCGGACAAAGAACAGCAGATTATAACAAGATATGATCACCAAACCAGACAGAAAGCGCAGGCAAAGACGAACAGGGAAGATGCGTTCGACGCGCAGGCGCAATTGTCTTTACAAAAGCACTGGCAAAGGGGTAAGCAGGAAAAGGTGCATCTAAGCAGTGGATGTATGCACATGTGCCAGCGCATGACTCATACACGAACGATGCAGGAACCACAGTGACAAGCGAGCAGACTTTTACACGCCGAAAACAAACTTCCATCAACACAAAGACCTTTTGAAATGCAACAACAAAATTAGGCACAATGTTGTTACAAAAACAGTCCAATATCCAAGCCGAATGCGTGTTCCGTTGACCACGAAGCACTGAAGGAATGTTCACTTGGTTGTGGAGGTGGCAGAAGGGCTGCGCCACGAACTTTGTGAGGTTCACAAATGTTGGCCACTAAGATTGAAACTGTCGCGCGTGCGAAAACTAGAGGGCTCATGAGAGATCTAACTATTTTCCCTGTGCAAGACAACGCAGGACGCCGTCCCGCGCAAGGAGCCACGTTTCTTTTTGCGAAACATGTTTCGTCGACGTGTTTCGTCTAGGAGCAGGATCAGACTTTGCGGCGGGAGCGGCGGGAAGCAGCTGCTGCTGTGGGCTCCCCAGAATGCGATGCACGGAGTGGAAGAAGAATTCGTAGAGTGAGCAGAAGGAGTGGAATGTGGATGAATGTGGGCGTGAACACGCAAAAGGGACCTTTTATTTTTGCATCCCTCATGGTCCCTCATGCACATCACTATGCAGCTATGCATGCTTTTATGCATCGCTATGCGTTGGCAAGAAAATGCCGCTCAAGGAACCTGATGCTGCTGACCTGCCTAACCTACATACTTACTTCGTCGAGTGCAAACTTCATCGAGTAACCGACTCTGACGCTGACCTGGCCAATTCCAAGACTACCCCACCAGATTGCGCTGGTAAGACTGCCCAAAAAGAAGCGTAGGCTGTCACTGCTTCCTGCAACTTGCTGCGCTCGGATTTTTGACAACAAAAGGCTACTCTTGCGCCGACGTGAACGTGCCAAGGGATTGAATAGCTCCTGGCCTTACTACTAGGGCGAGGGGTCAAATATCCCCCTCTTTTGGTGTCAAATATACACTATTTTAAGAGACTGTTATGAATTAGCTCAGTTTGTCCACGCAGACGTCTCGGACAGTGAGGTCTCGGACGTCAATGTCGGTCTCGGACATTGATGTCTAGGAGATTCGCTTGCCTTTGGGCCATAGGTCTGAGACATGAATGTCTGGGACAGTGAGGTCTCGGACATGAATGTCTGGGCCAGTGAGGTCTCGGACATTCGTGTCTCGGACAGTGAGGTCTCGGACATTGATGTCTCGGAGAGTGATGTCTTGGACATTAGTGTCTCGGACATCAATGTCTCGGACAGGTCTCGGACCTATGCATTTCCACATGTTTCCACATGTTTCCAGTGCACGTCCACAGGTTTCGACTGCTAGGACATTCAGGTCTCGGACATAAAGGTCTCGGACATATGGGTCTCGGACACGGAGCTCTTCTCAACTCGTGTCTCGCAGGGGGGTCTCGGACATTCATAGCTTGGACAGTGAGGTCTTGGACAGTCATGTCTCGGACGCTGAGGTCTCGGACATTGCAATGTCTCGGACCAGGGAGCTCTCGGACATTCGTGTCTTGGGCAGTGAGGTCTCGGACATTCATGTCTTGGACAGTAAGGTCTCGGACAGGGAGGTCTCGGACATTTTGAGGTCTTGGACAGTGAGGTCTCGGACATCCTAATGTGTCGGAATGTGGTCTCGGACGTGTCCTTTTGTGGGCGACCGGAGGGTAAAATTTAGGGCAATAAGAAGCCATACCAACGTAGCTCCCCTGTTTGTGGTGGGGCCACTGGAGGGAAAAGTTTAGAGCAAGAAGAAGCCATATCAACGTGCTCCCCTGTTTGCGGTGGGGCCAGACATAAAAGTTTACAGCAAGAAGAATGCATACCGACGTAGCTCCCCTGTTTCTGGTGGGCAAGAAGAAGCCATATCAACGTAGCATTCTTTTTTGTGGGCCGCCCGAGGGTCAATTTAAGAGGAAAAGGAAGCCATACCAACGCAGCTCCCCTGTGTGTGGTGGGTGGTGCCACCGGAGGGTAAAATTTGGAGCAATAAGAAGCCATACCAACGTAGCTCCGCTGCTTCTGGTGGGGCCACCGGCGGGAAAACTTTAGAGCAAGAAGAAGCCAAACCAACGTAGCGCCCGTCTTTGTAGGCCATGCGCGGGTCAAATTTAGAAGAAGAAGAAGAAACCATACCAACGTAGCTTCCCTGTTTGTGGGCCACCAGAGGGTAAATTTAGCAAGAAGAAGCCATGGTGGTGTAGCCTGCGGGGCACCAGGGAGGCACCAGGGCGCACCTACCTGTTTGTGGGCAACCGCAGGGTAAAATTTAGAGCAATAAGAAGCCATACCAACGTAGCTCCCCTGCCTGTGGTGTAGCGCACGTTTTTGTAGGCCACCGGAGGGTAAAATTTAGAGCAAGAAGAATCCATACCAACGTGAACGTAGCGCCCGTTTTTCACCCGAGGGTAAAATTTAGAGGAAGAAGCCAAACCAACGTAGCTTTTGTGGTTGTGGTGGGGCCACCGGAGGGTAGAATTTAGTGCAGGAAGAAGCCATAGCAACGTAGCTCCTGTTTTGTCTCGGATAGTCAGGCGCCGGACGTTCTGAGTCTGAAACAGTCGGAAACATATAGGTTAGAGAGGTGTCTTTCCAACGGCGCAGACGTCGTGCGTTTTACGAGCTGCCCAAACGAAGAATTTAGAGGAGGAAGGTGTCATTACAGCATCGCGACCACATGTGTTTGCAGTTGGCTGTTCATGAAGGTGGAACACGCTTGAAACTTACCTTTCACGGAGCCCTTTTGTGCTTAGAAGAAAGAAGAG